TTATTTTCCACATGATAATACGAGTTTCATTTTTATCGCACGTAAAGGCCCATACATGTACATTTTTTATGACTCGTTAAATTCTCGTAAATGTTCTTTCGGTGTAGCGTATCAAGTGCGAAAACCAGGGAAAAGAACCGGTAAAATGTACTTTCAACTTTAACCCAGTTCAGAGCCAAAAGCCGAAGTCGGTGGGTTAACGTGAGATCTCGTAATTACATCTCCCAATTACATCTCCCAATTACCATCGGTAATTGGCAATCTTTTACGAAAGGGTACATTTTTAGCACTCGTTATTTACAGCAGTTTTTAATCGTAATACAGTTCGATTACCACACGGATCATTGACCTTTTTGTTTACTCGACAAGAATGGCAAGAATGTATTAGAAGCTTTCAAAGGAAGTTTGTTCATCCTTAGGGTGAGAAGGGATAAGATCTAAAGGATCTTATCCCTTAGATCTAAGGGATTCATCGGATTCACCTTTGGGAAAATACGTGATTTCGGGTTAACTTCTCGCGTCAATGAACAAGCTAGTTCGATAGTAGTTGGTTCCTTCATTTCCGGGGAAAACAAACATTATCGAGGTTCGATCTCCTCTCCTGTTTTTTGTTCCCCTACTTTAATATTCCGTTATTAACTCGTTGGATATCGATTTCTCGCTTATTTTTCGACTTCTTTTTCTTAGTGTGCCGTTTACTGATAATACCATATGTTCGTTGTGACGTAGTCGTAAAAAATAGCATGTTCGACGGTTATCTTATCTCTGGCCCACCGACTATTACAGTTACACTTATAAACTACATATATAGATATATATAGTTACAAGTGTATTATTCCTTCTTCGTGACACGAAGAATCTTCGTTGTGGATGATAAATTTTGCACGTTAACACGATGGAATTTCATACGCGTTAATATTGGATGCTTTTGCCAAATGGTACCCTATGCAAATTATACTAACCATAGATCGCGTGGATCAATCGATTCACGTTGGTACGCTAATCGCGTTTACTACAAACTTACGCTCCGATTCATCTCTACAGACGATTAAGGATCGTGGAAGAACGGAAGCAGTTCTCATCTTCGAACGAGTAGAAACGTTCCGGAGGTTGATCCATCGATTATACAAGATTGCTCGTAACTTTGTAAGAAACCATTCCAATGATTTAACTTGCTTCGAACAGGATAAGATATTTTACGAATAAAAAGAAAACTGTAGAATTGAAACAAAAAAAAAAAAAATAAAAGGATACCGACAATAAGATCATTTATTCAAAACTATTATTTTAATTTATAATCATCGTCGCCTATATTTGAAAATAAATCGACGATAAAGGTTCTTCCTGTTTTTTTTTTATTTTATTTTTTTATTATTTAACGTGGGCGTACGTAGATCATAGAAGGTGGTTTCTTTACAGATGCCGGAGGATTTTACGAGGAACTACGGATACCTTGATAAGATATCGTGCTTACGCTTGTCGCGTAAATATTACCTTTAATATGGCTTCGCTATAAATAACGTCGACTGTATATGGCACTGTTATTTTCTCGATTTTCCTTCGTTCTCTCTCTCTCTCTCATATTCTCGACTTTTCCATAATGTCAGTTTTCTCTATTTCTATCTCTTTCTTTCTCACTGTTGGCTGAAACGTTAGTAGAAGAAAACTCGAGAGTGGAAAGTGAATCCCTTTCCTTTTCTCGCAAAAGTATGAGAAGGAGTGAGAGAGAGAGCAAAGTTCCTCGACTACATCTACTAGCATGCATTCGCGTAAAAACGTTGAGAAACAGGGTACAATGCAGAACGTGTACGGTGGGTAGGGTACATGCAAGGACAAGAAGTTCTCAGCTCGTATTCACACGTAGACGTCCATTGTCTCGACTTGTTCGAAGGTAAGAGAACGCAACTGAAGCGTTAAGGCTGACATCATTGTCATGTATCTTTTTTTTTCATCACCACCACCACCACCACCACCATCAATAGCACCACCTCTCTACTCTAGATGACGCCCATTTATTTATATAACGCTTTCTCGCGAATTTCAAAGTGTTGTATACTCTCGCAAAGTATTATTCACGTTTTTGTTTTTTTTGTTTTTCTTTTTTTTCCCCATCGTATTATTTCTTTTCGTATCCATATCTACGTTTCTTTTCTATCTGGTAGACGCAGGTAACGTTGACGTCACCACTACCCTTTGGTTTTTGAATCCTTCCATTTCGCATGGCGGTACCTTTTGTCCTTAATATTCGACAACATCTCTCGCAATAACGTTTCTCATTATTGTCTTTTGTACTTGACGTTTTCAAGAAACACTTCTACATAAAGTTTATTATTCATCGTGCTCGTTTGATGAATTTTCTTTTTCTTTTTTTTTTTTTTTTTTATTAGACGAATCGAAGAGAATACTAGGTATCGTTAGATCAATAGGAAGAATATCAACGAAGCGTCTGCTATTCGATTTGTTAACTCGTCTGTATAACCGATCGAGAGTTAAAAAAAAGAAAAAAAAGAGAGATGGAATTTTTTCTTAGCTTTCTCGTTGTTGTTGTTGGTTGCATATTGGGTTTGAGTAGCGACTGGCCTACTGCCAAGGCCATAGATACCACCAAATGGCTTCTCATAAACGTATACCTGTGTCTATGGACCCTACCCACCGTCCTCCTGCCAGCGTAAATTCAAATTATTTTTAAGCTACCTGATGTCTGTGTAATTAATTTGTAAAGAGCTAGGATAATGAAGTCTCGTTCACCTGTTGGTGAACTCATCTCTTCCTCTTTTCCTTAGGTCCGTTCGAATAGAAGTGCAGAATACATATTTGCTTTGCCAACGGGACCGAGTTACGTTTATTTCGCTATGATTGTTGCTTTAACACGGGTCTGGGTCAGTGACGTCATCGTTTTTAGGCAACGTACTTAAAGTTTCGCAGCAGTTTAGTCCTTTTAAATATTTACACGTTGCCTGGTGACCGACCGAGTCTCGAAACCCCTTTACCTTTCATCTTTCATGCCTGTTGAAACTACAGTTAAAAACTATCGCTTGGAATCTTCATTTCCTTTTACAAGGGAAATGAATTAAGTAACTCGAAAGAAGAAACGATTTTCTCTCTCTCTCTCTCTCTCTCTCTCTCTCTCTCTCTCTCAAACTCGATATTTATTCGATTATTTATTTTATAAAAATGAAACCCAATATGTTTACGTATGTAAACAATTTCGTTGCATCTTTTTGATCACACCTTGCAAATTTTTCATAGTATCATAGTTGCCACGTGTAATTAAAAGACTATTTTATAATTTGTATACATGTATACTCATACATACACCCACGGTAAATTGAAGCTCGGGGCGAAGCCATTCCCGTGTCTCTTGCACTTAACCTTAGAACCTGTGCTATACTACTTCTTTTCACGTAGGGGACTTTTTCATATATCGAGTGGCATTTATTAGCACAGGTCATTGCTTCGGATCGCATAGTCGGCCGTCGTTTAAAGAGATAGGTGTGTATGTATGTGTGTGTGTGTGTGTGCGTGCGGGCGCACGCTCACACGATTAAACTCCACCGTAATGGATTACGGTCGTGTACGCTTGCTCCCGTAAAGGGTGATACGCTACCATGACCTTTTCATTAATAAGAGAGGATGTTAAAAAAGATAAAAATAAAAAATCCAAATAACGTGTCGATTGATCCGTTTATATATTCGTGCTTTTATACATAAAATCTATAATATCAAATAAATTATTATCATACATTTTATATGATTATTTAAAGATCAATATAAAAATTCCTTTGTATTGAGACGGATCGATCAAACAAACGAACAGATAGTATACTCGTTCGGTAAACATAAATCGTGTTTTAAGCGTGGATTTACGAGTAACAACAACTTAACGTTCTCAACAAAGTCCGTTGGTTCTGTGAACGAAGACAAAATGTGTTCACCCTTAAGATACGGGAGTTTGTTTCACGTTGGTTGGAAGTGATAGTAGTAGTATGTTAATCGATAAGCTAAACTAACTTTGCAAATCCTTTCTCCCAGTTCTATATATACGTGAACGATACGTTGTCGTCATCATTGTGTTCGTGGATTTTGACGATTTTTTTTTTTTTTAATTCGTTGAGTCTATTGGGAGACATCGTTGAAGGATGCTTGACTAACGTAATAATTGTAATTATATGAAATGAGATACGGTGATTCGGTTACGTGGGCACTTTGTTTGACTGTCCTACATTATCGGACATTATCTAATTAATCGTCTCCGAGGCACGTAACGGTCGTATATTTTCCATCGTTGGTCCGTTCTATAACTTCATTTGAATATTATCGGTCTTTAATCATGTTATTATGTTCATACACAGGTAGGTTACGCAGTCTTTGTAATTCGACGAGTATAAATCTCGACGTAAACGTAGGTAAATGCGTGCAAGGGAGGGACGGACATTATCGTCGTCGTCGTCGTCGTCGTCAGTTCTAATTCTCTTGTCTATACATATACAGAATGGATTAGTAGTCAACATTTACTGTATAAATGGAATGAGTTTCGTTGACTTTTAGTACGTTTACATCCGCGATCGAAGTTAACAAGACGGGTAGCGTTTCTCGATAAAATCCGTTAATTCCATCAAATCAATCGTCCCGTGCAAATAGACGGTGCTAACGGTTTATCGACATCGTCCGTTTCAAATCTATTATCAGAATGGTGGTGGTGCTGTTCTTTGACCAGCACCTTTTTGACCTCTCAATGAATACGATAATAATTGGGGGATTTAAAAAAAAAAAAAGATGTAGTTTACTTTTAATAAAAAACAAACCTCGTTGAATAAGATTCAATGTCTTTTTAATATTAAATACACATGTGTATTGAATATTTTTTAATATTTTGTGCTACTAGGGTTAGTAACGAAGAAATGAACTTTCTAATTCTAATTTTCATTCGAATTTTTATTTCAAATATTTTTCTATCACCCTCACATCTCTCTATTTAACGTTTTTGTTTTCTGTTTTAGTGAAGAAGGCGCGGTTTATCTGCGAGGAAGGTTCGTATCAACTGGTGTAGAAGAAGAAGATGAAAATGTGAAGAAGAGAATAAAAAAAAAAAAAGAAGAAAGGGAGAAAAGGATCGGAATGTCGAAATAGCGTACTCGTCGGATCCTTTCCTCCTATCGTTTAAACTTTCACGAGAGAAATGCAAATGTATATATTTTCAATCGAGCGTACCGGCGACGGACTGACGATTGTCCCATAAAATTCTAATCGAAATGTTTTACCTTAGTAAAGAAAGAGTCCTTAGTTACGCTCCAATTCTAAGATACGCGACAAAATTTGTTGCTCACCCGTCGTATTGGAATGATTCCAAGTTTTTTTTTGGAAAGATTATGTGATTTCTCAAGTGGAAATATCACGATTTTGTTTGTACCGCGTTATTATCAAAAGAATTGGTCATTATTTGGTCAATGACACATGTGTTTAGTCGAGTTGCAATGATAGTTTTGCAAATTTTTAGAAATATATTTTCAGATAATCAGATACATAGGTTGAAATGTTCTTTCACTATTACGCGATTCGATTATTTTGTTTTTTATATTTCCCTCGAGGCTCCTGCGACGCTTTTCAATTTTCCATATCGACGCGTACAAACCTTGAATCCTTTTTATACCCTTTTTTTTTATTCTTCTTTCTACATATTGTGTTTACCATCCGTTAACTCGAGCTTTAACAACGCATCTACTCATACGCGTTCCTATGTTAAAGAGAACATTATTTCATCGCGCATAAAAGCACACTATTGCATCTACGGGATTCGTTTTACTTATTGCGCCTTTATCTTCTTTATTCTTTAAAAAAAAAAAAAAAAACATACGTAAAAATACATACGCGTATATATACGTCTACTTTTATTCGATACCCTTGCAAATCATTCTTTCTTAAATTAAAACACGTATGTGGAACATAATATTATTGATCGTTAGTTTATTAGAGATTAGAATGAATTATCATACATCTTAGAAATGATTATTATTATTATTTATCAATTATTTTTGTATCATTTGTGTGAAAACATGATGATTTTTTTCGTGATCGTGTTTGCACATTAATTTCATCAGCATACATGTGTAGATGTGAAATTTATCAAAAAACAATTTTTGTAGAGAAGGAAAGTAGGAATATTCGTTGATGAATTCGCGAAGAAGGTAAATTTGATTTTGTTCTTATCGAATCGGATCGAACGAGATATTGCCGTAGCGTGTATTAGTGATTAAATTGCGTTGAAAGAGCTGAAGTGAAAGAGCAAAATGAGAAAATGTAAGTGCAAGAGGTCCTTTCAATAAATTACGTCTTTCTAGCGATGAAAATTTCAATGAAAAACGAAATAAATAAGTAATATTATTAAAGGTAAAACACATTTTTGTAAGCTTTTGATTTCGTTATACATTTAAAGGATCGTTTTATTTGAACATTTGTCGATTTAGTTGCTCGCACAATTCTTTCTCATTCATCATTCATAGACTTTTTTTACGATTAAGGAAAAGGATGTAGAAAGTATAAAGATTTATATAAAAGAATATTTAAATTATTAAAGAAAAACCATATATATATCTTTTATGATGAAAATAAAAAAAATGAACTGGTACTTACTCGTTTATAAAAAAAAAGAAAAAGATCTTAGAAAAGTTGTAAATAAAGTTATAAAGTTATAAAGTTATAAGAGATTAACTTTTTAAAAACGTTTGCCACCAAATAAAAAGTACAAATAAAGAGGTAAATCTTAAAGATACGAAAGTTTGTATTTATGATACAACGAAACGAGAGAAAAAAAAGGGCTTGTGATGAGGTCTCAAGGGTGAGAATAAGTAGTGGGGATAATCGTGGCAAACATTTTGCGTTTATCAAGTAATCTTTTAAGCAAAGAAAACATATCTCTCGTGAAAGTGTAACTATACTATTCACTTATTCGTATGCTTGTTAGTTTACGAATCATTGAATGAACTATTATCAATTAACAATTACAGCGGAGGACTTCAATTCGTACGTAACGCTGAAACTACAAAATGTAAAGTCAACGACAGTCACCGTGAAGGGGGCCAATCCAAGTTGGGAGCAAGATTTCTTATTGTGAGTACAATTTTGATAACCTACACCTAGATTATATATCTATTTCTATATCATTCTATACTCTAATACAGCAGGATGATATCGTTTTCGTAAACGTAAGACGAAGTAGATGAATGCGAACGAAAGAGATTGGAGAAAAGCTGCGAATCGAGGTCAGACAGTGAGTTTAAGAGGGTTCGATTATTTTTAAACTTTCAATGAGGTCGTACGAGAAGCTCGGAACCTCCCAAGAAAATCAATTTAAATTTAAAACGGTTGCTCTCACGACCATTATTGTACCCTTTTTCCCATTTCCTTCAAAACGTATCTACTATTTTTTAATTTTTTTTTTTTTATTCGACTATGTGATTATTTCTTTGGTTATATTTTTCAGTATTATCGAATTAGATCATTGATTGGACTGGTATATATATTAAGGTACCTATCGAAAAAAAAATGGAATGTTACGGGGGCTATAAATATTATCGGTTTTTACAGGCGTTATTGAGTTCTCGTTTACAGGCTTGAAAAACTCTGTAAAATCCGGAATTTCGCGATCGACTAACGAGCCCCCTTAAGGGGTAAGCCGATTCAGTGCATCGATATATATAAATAGATGCTTAGCTTCGTGCGACGAGATAGAAGTGTACTTAGAATAGGTCGATTAGCAAGCACGATCTTGTCAGGGGTGCGTTTAAAGTATCTATTTCTTTCTTTCTTTCTTTTTATTCTATTTTTTTTTTTCATTCTTTTTTTTTTCTTTTTTTGCTTTTATTCGCTTTTTACGCTTACATGGTTTCAATGGGTTCGATTTTAAAACGATCCTCTCGTTTTCTATGCATCGTTAGCGTGACTCGAGCACGATCCTACTTAACGTTAACAACGTTGAAACGTTAAAAGAGATAGATGGATTGATTTATTCTTCCCTTATACGTAATTATATTTAAAGAACGAATAATCGTTCACTAATTTAACAGTTAGAAAAAAGAAAAAAAAAAAGAATTTGTTAGGATCTTCTTTGTTTGTGATCGATTTTGATCTGTTTTCTGATGGAATCTGTTATGGATTATGTTCTACATCTGTTTTACATCTTACCTCCCTTATGCTATGAATCGACTTCGTTGGAAAGGCCACCTCAAACAAGTGGCGAATGACGTCATCGATATTTCCTACTTAGCTATAGTTCAAAATGGTCGGTTCGATGTTTTCACCGGTAAGGTGGCTTACCGGGTGTTGTTACAAACTTTTAACCGATGAACGATCGATAACCATTTTTTTTTTTAAATTTTTTTGTTTGTCAACGTTACACGTTTTTTTTCATGTATTTATTTGTATTGCTAGCAACAAATGAAATTATTTCATCGAGAAATATCATTAGGATTTTGAAATCATTCGTAATAGTTATTTATAGTATGCACTAGTAGACGACTATTCTTAAATAATCAATTACGTTCATATCGATCACAATTGCAAGTTCCCACGGGAACGTTTTTTTTTTCTTTTTTAACGTAAGAACCTACAAAAAGGGTTGTAGATGATGACCGATATTACAATCTCGAATCATTTAGGATAGCAAGCTTTTGGCGTCACAAAAATCCTTAGATAAGAGCCAACATATCTTTAACCTACTTTTTCGTTCGATACTACGCTTTTTTATTCATTGATCATATATATTTAACATCTACATATTTGTCTTAGTCGTAGAGAAATAAAAATAACATGATACTTCTAACAACGTAATGATTAATTTACTTCGTTACTTCATTTAAATAATGGTATATTCTATATACATTTGTCTTCTTACGAGAACTCGTGTTTCATTGTGAAAATTAGATTAGCCGTTTTTTATGAATTTAATCTTGCAAAAATACATTTTGTTTTTTCAGCGAAACAAACGATATGCACGCTGGCCTGCTAGTAGAAGTTTGGTGCAAGGGATTTCTCTGGGATCGTTTTCTCGGTTACTACTTCATCCCACTTTCAGAAGTGACCTACATGAACGAGGTAACGTCAAATAAGACTTACGAGACATCGACGTTAAAGCAAGAACAACGTGTATCGTCAGATAACAACAGCAACACACAACCACTCGACGACACTCCGACGGTACACCAAACACGAGATACATACACCATTTTTAATAAAGCATCCTTTTTTTTTTTTTCAATCGTACATGCATGCCTCGTAGATGCTTTTTACTTAAATTCAACTTATTTTGACAATGAGTACTTTCTTAAATAATTAAACGTTTTGCTGAAAAGGACTGAAAATGAAGAAAATCGGCCAGTCACGTAGCAGCATTGAAAATTTCGCAAAAATTTTTCATCCCCTTTCTTTTTTTTTTTCTACAAAATTTTTACGAAAATTTACGATAACAATTTATTTATTTGAAAGAACAACTTCTTAAATTGGATTTAAATAATCTCTTTATCATTTTGCTACTCTACCTAAGATTACGAAGTATTAAAGTCTTTTTTTCTTTTTTTTCTTTTTTTTTTGGCTTTTGTAAGTTCAATCGATTGTAGTAACGCAACGATAAAAACTTAAAAACTTGCGTAGACTTTCTCAAACGGTGCACGTACATTATCTGAATTAAAGGTGAGCCGTCTTTTCCTAGCATGCAGCAGCAGTTTCATTTCACGCTTAAGACACGATTCTATTAAAAGCTTGAGAGTTGAAAAGCTTTTAAATAAATTCTCCTTAGTTCCATCGACCCTTTTATTATCTCTCGAATATCTCTTTTAATAAGCCAATTATTTCTCGGTAAATTTTAACCGATATTCTTTTCTAACCGGTCCTGTTATAATCAATAATTCAACTTCTTCTTCTTCTTCTTCTTCTTCTTCTTTTTTGACTTCTCCACGTGTTAGACTTTTTCTCGTATCATATGCAAAGATTTTTTTTTGTTTTCACATTGATTTTGTTAAATTATTATCGAAGTAAAGCTTTTCTTGTTAAACTTTCCAATCTCGCTTTTCAAATTCACTTTTTAACGAGTAATATTCGAAGCTTTGAATAATTTCTGGATAGATGGAAGACAAATTCTAATTATTTGAGTAATATTTCCAAGAAGATTATTTTCAAACATTTTTTTCTTTTAATGCCGATTTCTGTGTTATTGTAAAATAAGATTGTTCAAGTCGTACCACTGTCTAAATTGCACCTTCCACTAATGACCCTAATTTCTCAATCGTGCAATATTCATTGATTACGTTTTATATGAGTGTGTGTGTGTGTGTAGATATTTCTAATTTAATTAAAATAAATGAAATCAAAAAATGTTTTAATGGTGTACGACTTGAGAAAGCTTACAATACATATTTTCATGTTTTTTTCTCTCAATCATATGATAAAAGTTCGTAAACTAAACAAAATTCTCGTATAGTGTTTGCACGTTGAACGAACCGAAGCCAATTACCGTCCCGCTCGTTGACCGAAAGTGTCGTGGTTTTTGGGAAGAGAAATTCGTTCGATAGACGACGCCTAGGTCGTCTATCCAAGTCGGTAAACTATTTTTCCGATTAATTGTATTTTCACCTAGCCGTTGTCCGATGGTTACGAACGATCTATTACTCGCATATTTCGATCGATTTTCTCGACACACCAACAACGTGTCTACTAACAAATGAAACAATTTCTCTACTTGTAGATCGTTTGTTAAAGATACCAATGGTGAATAACGAATAATAAAACTAGAAAAAGAGAATAAAAGAGATTGCAAAAGTAATTCGGCTAAGTGTTGCTTTTGTCACCAGGAATTGAAGTTTTCCTCGATAAATGATACCGAAAAAGTACTAGAAGATGAAAGAATAAAGTACTACGTTCGTTGCTCTAGTACTTGTGACACCGTGAAAGACGAACGAAAGTGTATCGTCTTACGAGGCTCTTTACCTCGAAACTCTTATGCGATAGTCCTTTAGATTATATCTTTTCGAAAGTCGACCTTACTTTTAGGTATTATCGATAAAACCTTCAACTTTTAGAAGCTTTGAAGATTCACGGATCCATACAAGTTACGATTCAACGCATTATGCGTTACGTGTTACGAGTTTTGACATCATGATAGTTAATACGATTACTGTAATTACTTTTTCTCTTTTTTGTTCGCATTTTTATTGGAAAAGTAATAGGATGTTGTTTATTTTCAATTAAAGAAAAAACATAGTCTCGTTTTACTTTCTTTAGACGAAGCATTTCATTTAAAAGGTTCAAACATTTCACGATTTTTCCAAAATCGTTTTAAACGCACATCGTTATCGATGTCCTAACGATCTATTCGACCTTCTCCATTCAAAAGTTCCTTCAAGAAGTTTATCCGTCTTACGTCCATTGTGAATTTTATGCTTTTCGATAATGCAACGATCATATTTCAAAGAATACAATTTCATAATGACATTGATTCAGCTTCTTATTCTTATTCTATCTTTATTCGTTTTACAATGCGTTAACGTTCTATATTGCCAATTCGTGGTAAACGTGAAACGCATCTCAGTCTCTTCTGATCCTTTTATACCATCAACGAGAATTTACAACCGCGTGACGGAAACAGAAGAATCCCGGTAATCTCAAGCTTACAAGGTTGCCCATAATCGATTCACGAGTTAGCTTCAGTTCTTGTTAATATCAAACTTTTATATCTTCTTCTTCTTCTTCTTCTACTACTACTATTTCCTTTTGTTCGCTCTTCTTTGTTCTTTCATAATTATTAATTGTTAAATATTTTCAAACGATCCCAGCATAAGCGACTCATAATTTATGCGAACGGATTTGTGTAAGATTAAATCATATGTCTACGATATTTCACTATTATTATTATTTTCTTTCCTAATGGGGATCTGCCGTTTTGATGGTGGCCCAAATTGGTCAATTAATTTTCCCTTTTTTTAATTCTTAATATTCTCATCGCGTGAGAAAGTGGAAAACATAGGAGGAGGAAGAGATTAAAAATAATATTTGTAGAAAAGTAACTCGAAGATGTAGATCGATTTAATCGGTAACTCGGTTCGTAACGAAATACAAAAATAGAAATTAAAGAAGAAAATAAAATGTATAAGAAAAGTCTGTCAACTTTTTTCTTTTTTCCTGCCCCTTAACTTTTGCCCACTTCTCTCGCATATAAAATACCAATGACGGAGAGTGGGGAAGCGCAAATAAAAGTCCCTAGAAAAGTCAATATCGCATACCGTAGAAGTTTGACGATTCCAAAGCTCCAATAGGAGAGAGAGAGAGAGAGAGAGAGAAAGAGAGATGTCCGATACAAAAGGTGAGGGAATACATAAATCTATAAGTAACATGAAACTTGCCACCGCGGCCTCTCACCGTTCTTTCTTATACTTTATCTATGATATCATACGTTTCCATCTACTTCTTTTTATTAAAAAATGAGCCAAGGCTAAAGATAGAAAAGCTTTTCCTGCTTATATTAAGCGAATTCTTCTTTTAGGTCTTTTTACAATTACAGACTTGAAAATAACTTTAAGAAATATCTTCTCTCGAGTTTCATCCAACAACTCGATATCATAGTTTTTAATATCGAAAATAGAAACATATTTGGATATTTATTTAGGACTCGTAAGAGGACTTCTTCAAAAGAAGAAAGAAATGGGACAGTAGGGTCAAAGTTTCTCTCTCTCTCTCTCTCTCTTTCTCTTTGCTCATCATTTTGAAGGTTCTTGAACCATTACAAACTATACAATAAAATTTTCAAACAAGTATCTTTAAATATTCATTGTTTCGTACGTAGAAAGAAGACATATTTGACTGCACCTGTAAAAATAAGAGACTTTGTTAGTTTTCAAAGGTGTTTATGAGGTACCAATAATTAGTTGATGATATCATAAAAAAATGTCATAAACTCCTCATAAACGTATTACTTTATAAACAATCTGTGGTTCGATTAGATAAAGATAAGAAATAAATGTTGATGTAAGAAAAAGAAGAACACTAGTCAGGTTTTTTCCCCACGAATTGTAACAAGTACATCTTATCTTTTGACAAAGGGTCGTAGAAATTAAATAAGAGGGTGGTCTTACTTCGTATAGGGGTAAAATTCAGTCACGTCCGAGAGACTAACCCTCTTTTTCTACACACACACACACACACATATATACGAACATTCTTGTCCCCTTCTTTAACCGTTCCATTTCGTTCTCGTTTAACGTGTCCGAAAATTTCCTCGCAATGAATTTATTCTGATCTTTCTTAGCATCAGTTTCAAACAAAATCATATTTATTAAGTAGAGGAAGTTTGTTTCATTAAAAAAAGATCATGTGTTTAATTGTTTTCTGTTCGGGTTGCATCAGGGTTGTGAAATTAAGACAAATATCGAAGAAATTCTATGACAAGTGGATGATTAACTCAATTAAATATCCAATCCATCATCAACAATCCTAAATTTGTTTATTGTTTATTATATTGTTGTATGAAGTTGGGGGATCTTAGTGATTTTCTTTAAACTGTACAGTTTTACTTTAGTCCACGATATTCAACTTGGTTGCATCGCCATCACTGGCAACAAACCCCTCTACCCCTGATATCTCTTTTCTGCTCGTGACGTCAGCTGGCACGCGGCCAACTCGGTGGGAACGCTCAATGAAACGGTCGTCGGGGAGGAAGCCAAGGCGACGCGGACGACGTAGTCGTCTACACGGTACTTTTACGATGCCATTATTTTGCGTGCGCACACGCGAACGGTCACCCGATCTTGTGGCAACGACCTTGATAGAGGACTTCGTTTCAAATGATTACCCACCAACCTATATATATATACATATATATATCTTATGTTATTTTTCCTACAACGTAACAACATGGTCTTTCTAACATACTTTCGAGAAATAAACTTTTCGAAGATCATGCGTACATCATTTTTGTTTTTATTCCCATTTGCACTTGAAACGGTGCGATACGAACGATTGGTAGAAGAGAAAAACGATGAATCACGAAGCGAGCTATTCTTTCACGCTTCCAGACGGAATCGATCGACCAATAACGCGCACCAACATTGGAACCGTAAACGGAATCAGACAAAGAGATAGAAATAAGAAAAGAAAGAAATGCATACATGGAATAGAAGAAGTTAAGTGACTAGGAGTGGGAGCCTGGG